TTTAGGGGATATTATTGTTTTGATGACAGTATCATTGCTTTCTTCATCCACTTAATTAGTTAGGAGTTTCCAAGTTGGTTCGGTCATGCTTTATTAAAATCTCGATTGAAGGAGTCGGTGAAGTAGCCTTTATTTGGATATACAAGGTTAATTTAAAGTTAATGGTTACCGAAATCTTGTTATTATTATTATTATTATTATTGTCTTTATCGGTTTTTTTTTGTATCAAATTTATTTTTTTTACGTTTAATTTATATCTTAATCTATTTTCTTCATTAACTTTTAGATTAATGGTGTTAATTTTTTTTTTAATCTTAATCTCATCTCTCTATTCTATTTTTCCTTTTTAATTTTGTTTTTTTATTTAAATAGATAAATTTTAGAAAATTTATATTTTCACTTTTGAGTCAAATTACTAAATTTATAAAATCAAAATAAGAAAATTATAATATAAATATTATAAAATTATAAATATCATTCAAAAGTTTTAAAATTTTAACTAAAATTCTCTTCAAATTTAAAAAAGAATGCTATAAATATTTTATTTTAGACTCAAAATTTACTTACTAATAGAGATAAAGCTAAACCTATAAAGGATATTTTGGTTAGAAAAATATTTTTAGCTTAGCTTTTTTTAGTTTTTTTTTTTTAATTTTTAGAGAGAATGACCAAATGTATATTCACATTTCTCCTGTTTCTTTTTTTTTAATTCATTTATTTAAATTTAATTCAAAAATTAAGAAAGAAAAATAGAATAGAAATATGAGATTAAGATAGGAAAAAAAATAGTTAGCAGCATTAGTCTAAAAGTTAACAGGCAGATAATATTAAAACAAAAACTAAACGTAGAAGAATGAACTACTTCAGATAAAAAAGAATACAAGGACACGATAAAGATTTTTTTTTAAAAGAAAAAAAGAATAAAGAGACCTCTACAACCATTAACTCGATAATTCTATTTAATTCTTTCTTCTTTGAAAGTTTGTCTTCTATCAATTATTTCTTAATGTTTTATTTATCAATAAGATCCTTTCATCTACTTCCACTATACCTAGAAAAATTAATGGAAAATGATTTTACATTTTGAAAACTTCAATTTCAGTTAAAAAAAATATAAATAGTTTATCAATTAACTTCTTTAAAAAAATCACGTGATTCGTTTAAAAGATATGTTTATAATTTGATTTTGGAAGCAAACTCAATTCAAATAATCACACACAAAAACAATAAATGTAAAATACAATCAAAAGGAAAATACAAAACCAAATTTCACCATAAAAATTTTTAAAAATACAATAAATAAAAGCATAAAATGGATAAAAAAATGCAAAGCCGAGTTAACTTAAAATTGAATCAATAAAAAAATATATACATAGTTCATTTAATTTTACTTTAGAAAAAAAAATTTTCTGCTTGGTAAATATGCAAATTTTTTTATATATAAAAATAAGAAAAACTATAAAATAACAAAATTACATGTATTTTGTGATCATCTATCCTTCTTTTTCTCCATTTCTTTTTGTTTTTTGTTTTTTTTTTCAATTTACCTTCTTCTTTTTTTCTTTTTTCTTTTTTTTTTTCTCACTGCTATCACGACATGAGAGTTAACACGTTCAATCTTATTGATCAAAAACCGATAGTAGCAATCTCTTCAATATATAGGAAGATTCGGTGACACTCTATGTATCAATTCCCCACTTAACTATTTTTTGCCAACTGAATACAACCAAATAAAATAAATTATCATATATTGAGCATCTTGATTGTTTTTTTTTTTAATTATTGATTGACTTTTAAATGTATTTGGATTTCTATTTAAAGCTTTAATTCCCGAAATTAAAAAAAATACTAAATATTTTTTTGTGCTTTTTTTTATTATTGTTCTAAATTCATATTAATTATTTTTATTTTCAAATGAATTTTCTTTCAAACTCTGATTTAGAATATGTATATCTAAGAAATTTTTTTGGAAATCTAATTGATAAATTATTTATACTCTTTTTTTATTTTTTTTATTGTTTTTAGGTGGGGGAAGAAATTGAATTGTACTCGATAAAAAAAGTATTTTCTATGTTTTTTGCTGAACAAAAAGTACCTTATTGATAAATAGATTAAACATCAAAATAAATATTTGTAAAGAAGATTGAAAGAACTTTTCTATAATTAAGTCAGTAGTAGATAAAAATGATGGAATTCTTTAATCTTCTTTTAACATGCAAAGTCACCTTTTCTACAAAATATTTCTTCATGTGCTAGAGTATCCTAAGACTAATTATTTCTTCTTGGAAACTTTTAATTATTTAATTTTTATTTCATTTATCGTAATTCGTTAGTCCAATATTAATTATAAAATAACTATGATATGATAGCACCAAAAACTGCATTAGTCAAAGACAATTTGATGACAGTATGATTGTTTTCTTCATCCACTTTATCAGGAGTTTCCAGCTTGATTCATGTTTTATTCTTTTTCTTCTTTCAAAAGTTCGTCCTCCATCAATTTTTTTTCTTTTTTTAACGTTTCTTTCATTTATCAATATAATCCTTTCGTTCAAGTCCACCTCCGATAATATAGATAGTTTCATCCATTTATCAATAAAATTAATGGAAGATAATTTTAAATTATGACAACTTCAATTTTCTTTCAGAAGTATATATAGTTTATTAATTAACTTCTTAAAAAAATTCACGTGCTTCACTTAAAAGATATGTCTTTAATTTAATTTTAGAAGCAAAATCACTTTAAATAAACACACAAAAAAGAGAGAGTAAAATACAATTAATTAAAAAGGAAATACAAAACCAAATTCACTACTTTTGAAAAAAATGCAATCAATGAAAGCATAAAATAATTAAAATACAAAGCTAAGTTCACTTAAAATTGAATCAATAAAAAAAATTGTACATCGTTCATTTAATTTTATTTTAGAAAAAAAAAACTCCACTTGGTACGTATGCAATTTTTTATAGATTGAAAAATAAGTACAAATTATTTTAATATCAAAAATCAAATTTACATGAACTTTTTTGTAATCTGTCCTTCTATTTTTCCTTTTCTGTTTTTTTTTTCAATTTACTTTCATATTTCTCAATTGTATCACTATATGAGAGTGAGCACACTAATCTCATTGATCGAAAACAAATTTACATGTAATTCAACTATTTTTTCGCACTAAATCCGATCCAATCAAATCAAATCAAATATATATATTGTTTTTTTTTTAAAGAAATTATCTATAAATTTCAAGGGATTGACATCGAGGTTAAAAAAATTGCTTTCTCATTTGAATTTTTAATTTCAAACCTCGAGACTACCACCTGCAACAATTTATTAAATTTCTCTAAATATAAAGAATAATGTTGCAAATATTTCGGTCATATCATTAAAAAAAAAAAATTGCTAATTTTATATATATATATATAACCGAGACTTGAACATGGGCCATACCTCGTATTAGTTTGGTTTAGGTCTTTCTGTTTGGAAAAACCATAAAAAACACTCCTATGTTTGTATGAAATTGTCAAATTCACCCTTCTACAAAATTTAGTCAAAATTTACTGTGTCTACAAAATTTAGTCAATTCAACTAAATTGGACTATATAGCATTGAATTGTAAAATGAGTAGTTAAAATTTTGAAAATGCTTAAGAAATAAAAATAATAATTTTATATTCAAAATAATTTCAATATTTACTTTTTTTCTTAAAATTTTATTAAGCATTTCCACTGTTTTATTCAAAATTTACTTTTTCTGAAAATTTTTAAAATTCTATTTTTTAAGAATCTTATACTTTTTTTATTTTTAAATATTTTAATTTATAATTTCTATTTTTTAAAAAAAGTATTAAACATTTTCTAAATTTTAATGGTTGAGATAAAAAAAATGTCTAAGTATTTCTATTATTTCATTCCTTAAAATATTCAAAATTTTATGTTATTGTCAAAATTAACATTTATTTACTTATTATATGCATATAAAATTTAAAATTAGTACTCGTCTTAAAATTCAATACAATGAAGTCATTAAATTGACTAAATTTTGCAAACACATGATAAATTTTAATTAAATCTATTTCATAAAGTTTAGTTTGACTAATTCACACAAACAAGGTTGTGTTTTGATGGTTTGTTCCTCTCAAGTTTAATTGACTGCATTTGCCAAACACGTGATACATTTTGACTAATTTTTTTCAAAGGGGTGAATTTGACTAACACAGGGGTTTTTATGATGGTTTTTCTTTCTCTGTTTTATTATTATTATGTGCTGTGTGGCCTTGTCGCTGTAATGTAATTGGTTTTGGGGCTTAGTTCTCCTAATAGGCCAATCTGCCTTGCTCTGTTATGGGGGTTAGGGGCTTCTTTCATTATCCTTAAAATTAAAAAAAATGGAAACTGGAGATGGGCCTGGGCCAAAGGTAAGCATTTGAGAAATGAACTGGGCTCCGTCGTCACTAGTAACCCAATAACTTAATTCATAATTAATAAGGCTTAATTTTTTTAATCATATTTATTGGCAATTAATATATTTCAAAAAAAAAAAAACCTATGAGAATATCACAACCATTATACTCTTTTTTTTTCTCTCTTTTCTTTGTTTTTATCTCTCTCTTACAGTAAGTTTAATTTCTGGATTTCAATCATTAAAGTTATCAAATGTTTTTTTTTTAATTGTTGGTTTTAAATATTTGTGGATTTGTTTTGGGCACTTCAAAAGTGTGTCGTTCAGGAATAGATTTGATGTGGATAGACGCATAAATTGATCCGAGAATACCTATAATTATCAACAATAACAAAAGAGTATAATCGACTGTGTTAGTGATAAGATTACTCTCTTTCATTAAAACACACAGGCCTTTCATTAAAAATGATTCAAGAGGATAGCAGCAAAGGGCATTCTGTTTGTAACCCAAAGAGAAAATGTTAAATTTAAAAAAAAAAAAATGGTGAAAGAAACTACAAACAATCGTCTTATTTCATCAAGCTAGACAACCTCAATCAATTCAACCATAATTAAGCCGAAAAAAGTCATTCTGCACGAAGAAGAATCCATCTTGAGTTGGAATCAAGTGAAACATCTGCAACAAAATTATGGAAATATGAATATTTAACCTCAATATTTTCCAAAATTATTCTACTACATCAATATTCACATATACATACCTGGCTAAATCTCAACGGGTGCTCCTCTGCGGGCAACTGGAGGCTGCCACTAACAAGCACGACAATGCCTCCGCCGAAAGCTGAGGGCTGTGAATCGACGGTGCTAATAATATGTTTGCACTTTTCAAATGGCAAGTTGTTTAGCTTACAGGAGATATCAGTAACACCAAATGTCTTCTGACCTTCAAATGTCAGCATGGAGGTAGGTTGGTATAGAGAAGCAAGAGAGGATCGATCGTTATCGAAAAGATTGTAGTAATGATCGACAAATGCCTTTCCAACCACATCAACATGGCAACTCTCCACCTCCATATTGAAGTATTTCTCTCCTTCTCCACCATCAGGCTATGGTAATTATATAGAAAACGAATATGCTGTGATGAACTTTGGGCCAACCAAGGAAGAAAAGGTGAAAAGTCGGCAATGCATTGCTCCTGAATGGACGCTAGATGGCTATTACACCCTTGCTGCTTTGCCGGTGGTTGGCACCGAATTATACAAAAGGAGGACATTATGGTAATTGGAATTGAGAATCAGCACCGCTGTGATCCTACGCAAAGTTGCATGGGGTTTGAAATGGAGAATACGATCGATGTTGGAGCAAGTAAGGCTTGGCATCCACAATAACTTTCAAGCCTTTTAGCCGTCCAAATTACCCTTTTGTGTCATAAAGTAGGACCTCTACCTTCTTTTCAAAGGTATGCCTACAAAATGCTTTTTTTGTTAATGTGAGGATGCTTATTGTCTTATATGTTTCCAGTCATTCTCACTTCTCAGCAATCCAACTTAAATTGGGTATAAACAAGAAAATTTTATAATACATAATGAATAACTAAGTGACATGTAAAATAGTTATTCCTGGATCCATTTTGAGGAGAGATATATACATAAAAAAAGAATAAAATTACATCCATACCCATCAAAATTGATAAGAAGATTTCCACGTCCCCTTAAATTTTTTTTCTCTCTCTTATTTTTTTCTCTCTTTTTGTGTGTTTATCTCTCTCCTCAAAATAAATCCAAGAAATAACTACTATATATGCCACTAGTTACTTTTTTTGTATTATAAAATTTCTTATATAAACAAACCAATTAACGAAGATAGTTGAGATCCGGGCCATGGAATAAAAATTTACATTTCTGGTCTGAATCAAAAAACCTTCAGGCCTCTGATGAAAAAAAGTATGAAGCCAACTAGGTTGTAGACCTGCAGCATAGTTTTCAATATCTGATCTAGTTGTAAAAAGATCAAGATTGCCATTCGAATTGCAAATCACAGTTTATTGTGATTGTAAAATAACAGATTGTGGCAACCGATATTGTGAATATATTAATAATTGTAATAAATTTATTATAATTCATATATTTTTAACAATGTTACTAATTAAGCATAATAATAACATCTATAATAGTTTAATATAATACAACAATAGTTGAATTTATTAGAAAAAAAAATTAATAGTTAATATCACATTTTGATAAAACACATTACAACTTCAAGATACACATTACAATATATTTATCCCCAAAACAATCGTTATAAAGGGTCATAATAATAGATAATACATCACAAAAATTTAATATATATATATGGCCATCAATATTTGTTAAATAGCGGCAATAACAGTCGTTACAATTACATAATGCTACTATTACCTTCATTTGTGTAAAACAACTATAAAGTTTCTATAACAACGATTAACTTTAACGAGTGTGTCTGATGCCACCATACAATGGCCATTACATTACTTAACAGCTGCTATATCAAACTATAGATTGTAGCACCCTAGATGCTTTATATGAAAATACAGAATTAGGGGAAACATCAGGGTAAAGGTTTTGAAATTTGAACTGTGTTGTGTTAACATTAGTCAAATAGTGGCACCGTGGCTTTCAAGACATGGGGAAAGAACTTGGGAAGTGAGGAGATGAAAGGGATCATGTGTCCAATTATATTTTGCATTTCCAAAGCCTACAATATTTATAGCCCATAAGTAATTTGCAGTGTTATGAATTAGTAGATCACAGTTTTGGGCATGGGAAGTAACAACTCAGATCTGCTGCAATAGGGTAGACCATGGACTTGAGCCCATTAGAACTTCTAGGAAATGACCATAGAGCGGAATCATGAAGCAAAAACATCTAAAGGAGGACGATCTACATCCCGTCCATCTCAAGGCAGTTTTTAGGGATAACTATCACCAGCTAGAAAGTAAAAGATAAAGAAATTCGACTAAGCCTTATTCCAAGCAACTACAACACAGATAATGTACATTTTCTTCATTCAGATTCATCTAAAGCAAACTCTCTATCACTCACATCATACTTATCAACTACAAACAACATTCTCTATAGAGAAAATCACAAGAGAGATAAAATCAAGGGCAGAGCGATCAAAAGAATTTAAAGCATCTAAAAGTATTCAAGGGTTCAGAAAGAAAGGGGGCTGCTTACCCTTCACCTAGTTCAACAAAAATGAACAAGCATAGTTTTTCAACTAGGTTCAGTAAGTTCATGGTTCAAGCTATATAAACAGAAAAGGGATGCACGGAATACTCGTAGTCCCGACCACAAGAAATCACCAGCAACTTCTAGACCAGATGACCAAGCACAATCGGCAGCCACAAGGCTGAACAGAAAGTTGACTTTCATACTAGGCAGGCACCACAGGATTTTCTAGGCCCTAAACTGAATAGAATCCCCAAATTTCCCTCAGCCTATTCTTCAGCTTACTAATAAGATCCTACTAAAGATGTATAAAATCTGAAACTACATGGAATAAGCAACTATTCTTCCCGAAACTTCATAATCTGGCCTGAGTCTCTAAATTACAACGAAAGAATTATACTTTCTTAAGCTCCTTATTTAATTACAGATAATAGAAAGAGCAAACACAAACCACAGTTGAGACCCAAAAGCAGGCTTCAGCATCTAAGTTGCATAGAAACCTTTATACTGTGAAATAGACAAATCTAAATCCTATTATTGACTATCAGCAACGGTTAAAGACTTGCGAGTTCAGGCATGCCAAAACCTCAGGAAGCTGCATCTAACACCAAATATGGAATTCAAGAGATGCACGCACATGTACCAACAGGACACCTCAGATATACTTTAGGGAATTGAGCACAGATGTCATTTAAAAAACATAACGAAGTGACTATAATGTCAACAACTCAAAGCTCCAAAACATATAGGAGGAACCAAATAATTTTTCAACAAAGTGCCAGGGGCTCGCCACACAACAAACTTGTTCCCATGGAAAATTGCCACTCATTCATAAAAGAACAGCATCTTTAATTTTGGAAGTACGCGAGGCAACAATGGTTTCCCGTAGTTCTATTCCTAGAAATGCATTTAGCCAGTAGCATGGACATCTAATACATCTACAATCAAGGAAGAGAATAACATAAGAATGATGCATCCAACAACCTTAACAATACAGCTTCATTTCAAACCCTAGCCTTTCAATGACATAAGCTGACAATATCATTTAGAGGATCAAAATAATTCCCCCAAAGCTAGAATGATAGACATGAATGAAAAACTTACCATAGAATATACCAGAATCACATTAAAGGGTAAACTAATCATAGTTCCAATCGCCATAACTAAATCCTTTAGCATACAGCTACATTGCACAAAAATTAAAAATTAATCAGTACTTACATTCTTCTGAAGGTAAACTAATGCATCAAAACATCAAACTTCAGTACCAATTTAGTTTAACAAAAACATTTGAAACCCATCACAAATTGCCAGTCATCCACAATCAGAATCATATTAAAAATCATGTTAAAGTGTGAACTAATCAAAATTCGAATCACCATAACAAAATCCTTTAGCATACAGCTACATTGCACAAAAATAAAACATTAATCACTACTAATATTCTTGTAAAGGTAAACTAATACATCAAACTCTTATACCAGCTTAGTTTAACAAAAGCAGCAAAAGGATCATAACCTTTTAACCCTCGAAACTTAAAACAACCTTCCTCTTCAACTCCAACTCGTAGGCCAGAACGCATGAACACCATAACCAGTCTTCCAATTATCCAAAGAAATAACCTTCCTAACTGCCCAAAACGAAACAACCAAAGCAACACCCATAACAACCCGCTGCGCAGTCCTATTCTTCACTCTCACAAGAACGTGAGTAACAACACCCAACAACACGCCAACAATAGTATACAAAAACCCGACCGCGAAACCTTCGCCTCCCAACTGCATTCCAGACCCTTGATAGAAAAACACCAGCTTACTCGGATCATTTCTATCCGCCAAAAACATCGGCATTTTCCTAATTATATTAAACATAGCACCAGAAACACTGAAAAAATAAACAAACACCGCGCCGAGCAGCCAAACCTTCCAATCATGCAAAAACGTGTCTTTAGTCAAAACTTTCTTGATGAAAAACGGAATCCATGCCAAGAAAACCACAACCAAGAAAGCGATTTGGTTGTTGGACAACATCGGCGGGCGATGAATGGGACCCACGGTTAATTTCGTCCTGGATTCAACAAACTCCGCCATTGATTCCGCCATCCGGGAAAAATCCCCTTGGTCCATCTGATCCGAATCCTTCGGGTTCTTGACATTGGGCCCTACAAGACGGATATGGGGCAGGGAGTTGACGCCGAAGAGGGAGAATGAGTTCTGGGAATCTTTGAATTCGATGTCGCAGAAGAAGAGGGAGGAGGGAGAGGACGCGTCGTTGTTGGCGATGAAGGAGGAGGATACGACGGAGAATTCGGTGTGGAGATCTTGGAGGTGGAGTTCTGCTTTAGAGTGGAGTTGTTTGGCGTCGAAGAAGATGAGGAGAGAATAAGGGCGTGGGGTTTTGGTGGAGGTTAAGAAACGGGAGATTAATTGGTCGTTTAAGTGGATTACGCCGGATTTGGATTGGGATTGGAGGGAGCGAAGTTCGATGACTAGGTCGTCGGAGTCGGCGGTGGTGTTGTGGAGGGAGGCGGTGAGGACGGTGGTTAACAGGAGGAGAGGGAGGAGGAGGTTTTGTGAGATCGCCATTTTGGAAGAGGAGAGTGTGGAGTGAGGTGCAGAGGGCAACGCTTTGACGTTGGGGGTTTCGAGGGAGTGTGGAGGAGCCAATGAGAAGTTGACAAGTGTGAATTTGTGACTCACTTATTTGTTCTTATTGGTTGTTTTAAGTAAACGAATTGACGCTGTTTTTTCTCTCAATTAACCAAAAAGCCAAACTACATTTTGATCCTTTAATTATAAAATTGTCAAATTAAATCCTTATTGATACCAAATTGGGGTGAAGAGATTAAAACGTACAATACTAGATAATACAAGGATATGGGGGTGATTTTCACCCCATCTTCAACAACATTTCGTGGAATTTCAATGCTCTTCTCGGTTCCTTTTTAGCAGGGAAGCTAGCAAATTCTTTTTTAAAACTTGCACTATTGCCTCGTCAAGTTCTTTTGTGTAATCAAACATCCAAACCTCTTCATCAACCTTCTCTTCTTTGTTTTTGTAAACCCTGTCTTCTTTGAGTGAACCATCAAGAAGTTGAATCATATGTTGCTGCATCCAAACTTGCATCTCCAACTTAGTACATGGCTTGCTCCATTTTTCTTGAGGTATCTGAAGTTCTTTGAGAGAGGAAAACAATTTGATACAATAATTTACCTAAGAGCATCCCAAAAACATGTTCTCAGCAGACAACCATGCAGCACCATAGCACTATATATGCTCATATTGGCAAAATTATAGTTGCACCATAACAGCAATTGCAAGTTCAATGGGAAGATCAATGGAAGGAAATATAGCACAATCTAGGTTACAATACTATGGAAGTTTCAAGCTTTATCATAAAATAGACCACAGCAGAGATCTAGTTTTCAAATTTTAGAAACTAAAGCACTTGGCCTGAGCATTATATTCCCTAATTCACAAAAAGAAGGGAGAAAGTATACAGTTTGATGGGGAATAGTCGCAGAACAAACACAATGCCCGTGCATTCTATTGCTTGAATTCCAATATCAGCCTTTTATATGCTGGTTTATCGGGTTTAAGCCCCATGTCTAGCATGTCATCATGAAGTTTCATTGCTTTCCTCATTTCTTTTGCACGGCAAAGACCACGAATTGTTATTGTAAAACTTTCACTATTCACTAATTTGAGTCCTTCCATGTAATCAAACACCCTAACTGTATCTTCAATCCTACCTTTTTTCACTAGCCCATCAAGAAGTATGTTATATGTTGCTACATCCAAACTTGCTTGCAATTTCTCCGTCTTGTTATGCAATGCGACGGCTTTATCAATCTGTATCCTAGAGCAATAATGCTTAACTAAGGAGCAACAGCACGATGAATCTGGCAGTAAGCCTTTCTCCAGAACTACATCCAACAATTCTTCCACTTCACTCCATCTACGTTTTCTACATTGAGATGAGATAAATTTTGATAACCCAGCTGTACAAGGTCTAAAACCACTTTTCATCATGTCCAGCAAGATCACGTATCCTTCTTCATACTGACCTTCTTCACTTAGAAGATCAACGAAAGCATGATAAGTGCTATCCTTCACTCTGATTCCCTTTTCGGAAATTACTCGGTATAAACCAATTGCTTCCTTTACTCTTCCTTCTTTAGACAGTGCCTTTAACATACACCCGTAAGTAGCATCTTGTAATCCAATCTTCTCATCACAAGCTCTCTTATAAAACATTGTTGCCACATTCATCTTCAACAAATCAGAAAACTTTTGAATGACCGAATCACATTGAGACAGAGGGCATTTTGGAAGCAAACCTTTCTCTGCCATTATATCCATAACTCTCTCAATCACGTCATCATTCCCATGTTTACAAGCTCCATCAAGTAAAAAGCTGTAAGTACTAAAACCAGGGTCAAGTTTTCTCTCGCGCATCTGATTTAACCTCTCAAAAGCAGCTTCAAAATCCCCTCTTTTACTACAACAATCAATAACAGCATTATACATTACCGAATTATAAACTCCCATATCTAAAAACTTAACAATTCTCTCAAAGTTCCCATCTTTACGGAGAATCTGCGCAATCAACGACCAAGTTAACTTATCAGGCAAAACCCCATCTTTAATCATAGCACAATAGAAACACCAAGCTAATCCAATCTCATTTTCTCTTTGCAAAACCTCAAGAATTGCATTACATGCACTACTAGAAGCAATAAATCCACTGCCCCTCATCTTCTTAAACATCTCTAAACTTTCCATGAACAGACCCTTATGTGAATAACACTCAAGAACAGAACTTAAAGCATCAGACTTCAAACTTTTACCTCTACAAGAATCAATCATAGCCTCTCCAAGAACTGACACGGGCTGTGTTTTCACCAAATAATCCAAGAGGGGTCTCACAGGTTGAGTGAGACCTGAATTGACACAAATCTTGATGATGTGACATTGGGATTTAAGGTCTGGTTTAAGCTTTAGATTAGTTTGCACCCAGTTGAAGAAGTTTAGAGAAATTTGAGGATTAGTTTGTGTTTTGTAGAGGATTTGGCTAAGGAGAGAAGGAGTTAGTTTTTTGGAGAGGTTAAGGTTTTGGAGAAGCGAAACCCAGTTGTTTCTTTGTAAGAGGATTGATGATATTTGGGACACTAACTGGTTTCGTTTGATTTGGGTTCTCCATTTTATTGAAGTTGTTGGGTTTGCTCTGTTAAGAGACATTGTTTAAAGATCAGTGCATACAGTTCAGATTTTGTCCTTTTGAATGATGCCCTTTTGAGGTATCTTTGAATGACATGTCATTCAAGTTGTTGATTCATGGACGACAAAATTCAAATCCGCTTTTTTTTTTTTAAGTTCAATAATAAAAGTTTTTTCAAACCAATGAGATTTTTTTATATATATATATATGGTTAAAAAATATTTTTCAATATAGAGCTTTAAAAGACATCCACTAAGGCCTGAGTTTATATATTTCGAGAATAAATTTTAAAAAACATTAGCTATAAATATCGAGCCATGAACATGACTTATAAATTGACACTTGATGTATTGGGAATTATTTTAGTTATATTTCGTATCTGACAATAGTAGCGGTAAACATATATAATAAGTATCCGCCTATTTAATTTATTTTTTTAATGAAAAACACATATTTGAATGCCTTAATAGCTAAAATTAATTTGATAACGATTAAAAAAATGATTAAAATGAAAATATGATGGTAAATAATAAAATAAATTTTAACTTTTGATTTTGATTGTAAATATTTGATAAATATCTATGTATAATCGAAAATTATTGTAAAAGTTTGAAAGAAAATAAAACTGGTAAATCATTAAATACCAGATATTAATTTTTAATTTTTAATATTAAGAATTGCAACGTATTTAATTTTCTATCACAATTGCTCTATTGTTATAATATTTTTAAATTATTTTATCTAAAGAAGTTATTTATTCAAATAAATTTATTTATATTGCATAAGTTGATAAGGTGCATGATGTAACTTAACAATTTTATTCAAGCCTTAATTATTAACTTTTAGTATGATAGCTGTAATATGAGTGTAATATCATTTTTTAATCTTTTTATTTTAAAGAGTCCTTTTTAATTATTTGTGGCATGAATAGAAATTAACAATAAAAAATTAATTATAAATCTTTCTTTTTTATTATTAGCAAAGTTTACCAGAAAAAAGAAATACTAATTCCATTCATTTTTTTCCATCCAATATAAGTTAAAAGTAATATAAGGCAGTAGCCAAAATTACTGTAAATAAGTAACTAAGGCTAAAATTTAATTGTGTTGAAATTTGATGTAATATTATATATTATTTTCAAGCTTTTTTTAATTTATTAGCTTGTTTTTAAGCATTTTAGACTTTTGCTAGTCAAAATGAAGTGTTAATGAGACACTATACAGGTTATGAATTATTTAAAAAGTTTATTTACTTTTATTTATAGTTTTATATGATGTATATAAAATTGATAAATAATGGAAAACGAGTTTAAGTAATTATTTTTACGAATTAAAAATTTGATTAATTTTACTCTTTTTTTTTCTTACTTATAGATGGAGTAAGATTTACATTTTCGCATTGAAATATGTTGTGCTATTTATATTGTATTAAGGTATACTAATCCATCAAAAAAAAAAAAATTAGTCACTTTATATGTAGTAATTAATAAATATGTATAGACATATTTAACTTGATAAGTTTGGAGCTTATTACATTAATTTGCTATTGCACTATTAATAATACACAATACTACCTTGTGATTTCAATTTCAAAAATCAGACTTCTACCTACCCTATACGTATTCACAATCCATTACAAAAATAATTTTCAGTGTTTTTCTATCCATTTAAATTTTTATCCATTTAACTTTCTCCAATAACTCATATATATATATATATATATATATATATATATATATATATATATATATATATATATATATATAAAAGAAGAAGAAGAAGAAAAAAACTCATCGATAAAATCTACCATGACAAATTCAAAAACAACAACAAATGCTCGGAAAGATTATTTTTGAACTATTAAAATAGTAAAGGAAGATCATGTCATATGCATGTTCATCCAATGTATTATCGTAGCATATATTATGAATGGAGATCTAGCACAAGGCTTACATGAATTTGTAATTTCCACAATTTATCTGTTCATTTCAATTATTTATAACCTCTAATTAATTGAAAATTCCTCACGATACATTTGTTAATTATTTTTATCTAAACCAATGAAAGATCAAGTTATAAGTTTTATATTAGTTGTATATTGCATATTTTCTATTAAATATAAATCAAGAAAAAAAAGTATTGGAAAGATGTCAAATATTAAGTTAATCCATCTCGATGTCCCTTAAGGTGCTGAAAAAATTATTATAATACATAAATTGAATTAGATTTTTATTTACATCCTTATAGTCTTTTAATTAATAAATCCTTGATAAAAATATGAAAATAAATTATTAATGTTAAGATGATGTTTCTAGTGGTGACAACAAAAGTAACCATGGTTAGGGGGTGATTTCGATTGAAGTTATGTTGGTAAGAAGATGGCAGTGGTAACAATTTTAGGAGTTTTTAGGGTTTTTTTTTTATTTTTTTTATTATTATAAACATTCAATTCTTATATTAGATTTTTTTAAAAAAAAGATTCTAAACAATTGCTTTAGATCATAAACATATGAAAAAGAAATCAACAATTCTTGAAAACATTAATAAAATGAAAATTAAATGCAACAGATGGTAATTATATGAAATTACTTGAAAATCTAAATAATGAAACCGAGTGTACCTCGAAATGTCACATGTGGATAAAAATATATGAAGAAGAGAATTACACAACAAAAGATAAAAATTTTGACAGCTGTGGGATTTGAACCCACGCCCTTTCGGACCAGAGCCTAAATCTGGCGCCTTAGACCACTCGGCCAAACTGTCTTTTGTGTACAAGCTTTCGCTTTTAATTACATATATTAAATATGAACAATTTTTTTGATCAACTCTAAGCAAAGATCAAGCACCAACAGGGGGTTTAGTACAGGAAAAGCTGGCCAACATGAATATCATTGCTATTCTAAATTATTACATTCTAGCGAAATGATTCTGTGACACACAGACTTTAAAGACTACTATTTTTTTTTGTTATTTCTAGGTATTTCTTTCACCACTGGACGCGTTTTGGACAGATGGAGATCCAACTTGTCAAGCACCGACATGCAAGTTGCAACACGTGACGGCTGCATGTGCTCAGGCAAGTTGCTTAGGTAGGATTATAATTACAAGTATTTTTGTTCTCATGTTAAGGTCCGACCAGCTAGAGCGCCTTCATCCTGTTATAAATCTCAGCTTTCCCATCATTTTTACAGCACCAAAGCTCAACGAATGGCAATAAAGTTTCAAAATCTGGAAGAAGTAGCAAGATCAGATGACAGCCTTTTGTTGCTCTCTGCTCTGAAGAATCTAAAGAACTCTCCCCTTCTGAACTCTCAGCAATCAGAAATCATTCAAATCTATGTTGAGAATTTTTACTTCCTGACGTACCATCCATTTTATGAGCAGCAAATTGACAGGACTAGTTCACTGAAGTCTTTCATCAAAGATGGCAAAAAAGGAATCATCTTGTTATTATAGTAGAATACACACGAATTTAACATCAATTTGAATTGTTTCTTTTTATTGAAGGAATTTAACTTTCTGGGCACAGGAAGTCAGCCACCGAACACTTTAAATGGCAATAAAGTTCCAAAATCTTGCTGACCCACTTGCTCCTTTGGGTTTGTCAAGTCTAAGATCAATCATAGCTCTTGCCACTAATACATCTCCTTAGCTACCAGTCAAATAATTATTTTATTCTCAAGATTTCAACATCTTATAAAATTACTATAAAAATAAAAATAATTAATATTTATGAAGGAACAGAATAAAAATATTGATTTTTTTTATTGGAGAAAACAATAAATGAAACAAAAAACGGATTTTGTTTATCAATTAAAGGTATTGTTTTAAAAACGCATTATTTAAAGTTTTCATCGACAAGCATTTTAGGATACATATAAATTAAAAAAAAAAAACAATTTCCCTTGAAATAGAGAATATATCAATCTATATTTTTTTTCTTTTTATATCTGTCTCTTTTTGTAAATTGAATTCATATAATAAATATTAATAATTACTCATTGAGTATTTTTAAATTTACCACCTGCTACCATTCAAATAATTAACAAATTAGATAAAAGAAAGAATAATAAAAGTATATGCTTTCCAATTTAATCATTTAAAAGCGGTTAAGGTATCCTAACACCAAAGATCTAGACTAATCTTTGATGGTTTGGTTAAATGCATAAGATAGGAACACAAATATATATCTAAAGAATTCTCTGCATATATATATATATATATATAATTTCGAACCGGACATCAATGACAATAACTTTTTAAGCTTCTTATATTGCCGGTGGCTTCTCCTTAATGTAATATTTTGAACTTCTTCAACCATGGTGCCATTCATTTTACTTCATTGAACCTTTGATATCTCAATCAGTCAATTACTAAGCTCCACAATAATGCAATTGGGGTAGGACCCTTTATCACCATATAATCACTTCAGAATTCCCTGGCATGTCACGTGCACCATTAAGATCCAATGTTTCAAGCATTAATCATCGAAGGGTTATTAATATTCCATCCTTTAGCATACCGGAAGGTTTATCACTGGTTGCCCACATGCTCTGTCTGAAGCATAGTGAAAAGGATATTATTCTGTCACTGTATAGCATTATCCTGCTTTCTTGGTCATTGTGATTGGCATGTTGGTCTTGTTTATTACCAAGAAAGCAAGCTCTGCTTCCTAGTAAAAGTTCTCCATTGCTACGTTAAAGTGAAGCAAACCAAGAGAAGCGAACAAAGTGATTGCCTTGAAAAACCTGTAGGGTGCAATGTTTTTTCTAGAAATGCGAAGGACATGCGCAGTTTGTAGTGCATATTTGATCTTATAAGCATTGGTACTTGTACGTCAACATTTGAATTTCAATACCAATCTTTAAACACCCCCCCCCCCAAAAAAAAAAAAAAAAAATTCCTAAACTGAAATTTAACCTAATCATTGTGTATTGGATAACTTCCTTTAAAAAAATAAGGTTTGAGTTTTGCTTATTCAAAAATTTTCAATTATATTAATTTAGCAGCGATTATGGCTATTGTATAATCCAAAACTTATAAGGTCTCCTTGTTCATCATTGGATAAAAATGAAATATTTAAGATTAAGTTGAAAAAAGTACAATTTAGATACACAAAACTATTAGATTATTTCATATCTGTTGAGTAATGAACTAGATACTTAATTATAAATGTGAGAAAAAAACTTTATTTTTTTAACCAAGGGTTAATAACGCTTAATATCAATATCAGAGTTTAAATTAAACAATTCTTCGATATCATAATCAACTTATAACTTGACGTGTTATAATTATAAATGTTAGAAAAAAACCTCACTTCTTAAGAAAAAACCCAATAACATTCAGTAAATAATTGAAGAATATTTTACTATTTAAAAAATAAAATAAAATAAAGAAGCTTATCTTAACGGTTTTGTATCGAATCAGATTTCTTAGTGAAATCAAATTTAAATCTTGATGACTCTAAGTTTTTTTTTTTTTAATTATGTAATGGGGAGGGCTACTCATATTAGATAACTCAATATATCCATAGGACTCCAGACGAATAAAAAATATATATATATTCTAAATAACTTGTAATTTTCTGTCTGTTTCCTTTTTCTTTGTTTTGATTTTTTATATTTGCTGTGCTTCAAATTCCAGTTGTCAAACCGAAGAACTTTCTGATAATTGTATGACAAATCAAAATCACTCCCTGTTCTTACAACAAAATATGGACCCCACTTTAAAATTTTCTGTCAAAGCCCATTGGAGGGCAGCCTGGCTTTCTCAGTCCCCAAATATCTTTTATGTGATGTAAATTCTCCATGCACCTTTTTTATCAAATTCCTACAATACCCATGTCGGTTTTGTTCGCTTAATTCAATAAGTTATCATAACGGTCCACATCAAATAAACCCAAATCATATGGTTAACGAATGTTAGATGGGCAAAATGGTACATTCCGTGATCATGACCAAATAATTTATCAACAATAATGAAATGTCAACTTGTTCTTCAGTTCTAACCTTCGTATTGGAAACTCTGCATTTTCAAATACTAATCATTAAATGCACATCACCTCCTCTCAAAGATCCATCTGCTCGTTGAGAAAGCTCATTCCCTGCCTTTCTTCAAGCAAATTGGAGAGAAGGGTTTCTACAATGGCAGCTCTTCTCTTCATTGCAGCTTTAATGGCTGCTTCATGTATATCATCTGAAGCAGCTCAACCAAAAGCATCTTTTGAAGATAACTTTAGTATCATGTGGTCTGAAGACCATTTCAAAACATCTGAAGATGGGCAGATCTGGTATCTCTCATTGGACAAAGATACAGGTACACATATTTATGCATTCAAGACTCATTCAAAGCTAGCTAGATTTCTTTATTACACTGAGATAAATATATGTATATAAATACCTTGCTTAATGTTCGGTATTCCTTTTTAAAGTACTTGGTTTCTTGAACAGGTTGTGGATTCCAAACCAAGCAGAAATATAGATTTGGATTGTTTAGCATGAAGCTGAAGTTGGTAGGAGGTGACTCTGCAGGTGTTGTGACTGCCTATTATGTAAGTATTTCTTGTTGCTTCTTAAGCATTTCCACAATTTCATCTGTGCCCTCGTATGCTCAAGATGCCTTTAATTATTCAAGGAATTGTTTTCTACTTCTAATTTGATAACAAGTACAGAAAATTAAGGTAGATTGATGTGTGTCTTCCAGATGTGTACAGAGGATGGGGCAGGGCCAACAAGAGATGAATTGGATTTTGAGTTCTTGGGGAATAGAACTGGAGAACCCTATTTGATACAAACAAATATCTACAAAAATGGGACTGGTAACCGTGAAATGAGACACATGCTCTGGTTCGACCCTACTAAGGAATATCACACCTATTCCATTCTCTGGAACAACCATCAGATAGTGTAAGTCCTTCAATTCTATGCCATCACAACAAGATCAAGGCACCTGATGGGTGATGATGAGATTTTTCAAATGCATAATTTTAAAGTTTTCGTAGTACTGAAATCTTGCACAAAAGCAAAAGCAAAAAGAAAAGGCCAAAAAAAGTTAAAGGCCATATCGTTGCATCGACCAACATGTGGTGAAAGCTAGCATTGCACTAATTAGCCTAAGAAAATTGCAACTTGGGATGGATAGACAGTGACACTGACATGGATTTTTCACTGAATGTGGATGCAAACAGGTTCTTTGTGGATAAAGTTCCAGTGAGGGTACATAAGAACAATGGAGAACCAAATGATTTCTTCCCCAATGAGAAGCCGATGTACCTATTTTCCAGTATTTGGAATGCAGATGATTGGGCCACCAGAGGTGGTTTAGAGAAGACAGACTGGAAAAAGGCGCCATTTGTGTCCTCTTACCAGGACTTCAGTGTCGAAGCTTGCCAATGGGAAGACCCATTTCCTGCGTGTGTGTCAACTACTACAAAAAATTGGTGGGATCAATATGACGCTTGGCATCTCTCAGATGAACAGAAAATGGATTTTGCTTGGGTCGAAAGAAATCTTGTCATCTATGATTATTGCAAAGACACTGACAGATTCCCAACATTGCCGGTGGAATGCAAATTGAGTCCGTGGGATTGATGAGCAATTGATGATTAAATTATTATTCTTCAGCATCGATCATTTTTTCTATCTTCTTTTTTGTCTTTTTCTGGAATTCCATTTTGAAATGGGTTTAAATCACAACCTATGTATTTTTAAACCAGCTATTCTATTTCACTGTTGGATATCTATTTAATTTATTCAATTCGAACAAAAATTTTGTACTTTGGCCATCCTGTTAGCAAATTATAAATTAGTGGTCTAGTTTCAAGAAACAAATTAATTAGTACTCTTTATTTAAAAAACTAATTATTTAGTCATTATATTTTAAAATCTACTTATAATTTAATCAATTTTACTTCTTTTTAATTTTAAAAAATAAAAAAGTATGAAAAGATTGATGAATAAAAAATATTTTATAAAATAAAATAATATTAAATTAAACATGATCAATACTAGTAAAAAGATTAAATAATGTTTTTTTTCAAAAAAATTTATTTATTTATTTTTTGAAACTAAAGAAACTAATTTATAATTTACTTGCCATCTTATAAAATTTCTCATTAAAAAGGTCCAAAAAAACATACAATAAAAATTTTACAACAAGTGTACGGATTTATATCTCAGCTCATAATTCAAAATACTCTTTATGATCTGTATTTATACATGATAGAATCAATGAATACAATTGATGTTTTCTACTCTCTAATTTTTTCAACTGAAACTTAGAAGTAGAAATTGGTAATTTAAATTGTAAATTAAAAAAAAAAAAAAAAGGTAAACATCCAACAACATATGCATAAAATAAATTACATCTCCCCAAATCTTCACAAAAGTTCTGTTAATTTGTTATCAGGTACAATGAGAATGAATCAAGAACGACATGTTCACATTTTTACTTTTAATCCAATTTATTTTGTGAAAACTAGTTTCCTTTCAACTTGATTTATTTTGGGAAACACACAGAATTACTTTAGAAATTTGAATGGCAAAACGTTGATCATCACAAATCTTCTGATCAGACCTATACCACCTGATGGAAGAAGACCAATGATCATCAACGCAGACAGGTCAAGTCGTGTAGTTAGAAAGCAAATTTGGTTAGGCCCCAGGAGTAAGTAAAGCAAGGCAAAGCAACATTTTTCGTATTATCTAAATCGGATTGGGAGTAGCACTAGCAAAAAGAGAGATAATGCATGCTCATATTCCTGTGTTCAGACTTGTGGCCCCAAAAGTGGAGATTGGCAGAGATATTAATGTTAATTGTAAAGGGTTATGTTCTTGTTCTTGATCAGCAAAACAGCAGGGGCTGCCTGATATTAGCTAGTTCAATCGTTTGGTGGTGAGATTTCAACTCTGAATTTGGCTTCATGACTAATCGAATAGCAAGTTCGCTTAAGAGCAATTCCTCGGCCTCTGATTACTCAGAGTTTGAAGGTGAGATCATATATCTGTTTTTATTTATTTATTTATTCCTTCTTCGATCAATCACAGCGATCTGAGACCGAGACATGCAATTATTTGCTTAATTACTTCAATTGCTGTGAATTCTTTTCACAGAGATATCAACAGAGTTCCAAAACCCAGGACAAAGAGCCACTCAGCTGAACCCCCTGGCATGTCTAAATTTAGAGTCACGCGGTACGGTGAGATCACAAATTAAACCAGCAATAACTCCATCTTCCAAGAATTCCCACTCATCCAAATATTATTCCTTTCTAGTTTGTATAGTTCGTTGGCGATGAACAAATCAGTATGACAAAAAATATATTATTCCTTGTTAAATTGATAATTCTTACTGATAGATCATATATGCATCGAATTCATTACTTTCTACATATTTTACTCTCGGAACAGAAACAAGAGTAGAGGTCTGTGGAAGTGTATTCACCCTTAAACAGTTGATAGATGCCACTCGAAAATTTAGTCCCCAAATGGAGCTTTGCAGAGGCACTTCAGGAGTTCTTTACAAGGTTCGAATTATTCTCTTATTGTTTTTTCAGAATATATATGTATGTATGTATGTATATTGTTCGAAATTCATCAGTATATATATCAGATAATCATGTACTCTCTAAAGTTTATATCTTGATGTGTTTATGTAGGCTGAGCTACCAAATCTGAACGTGGCAGTGGAAAAGATGCATCAATATTCGAAAGACATTCATGAAATTAGAAGGAATATTTTAGTACGCAAGCAGTTGGAGCATGATAATATCGTTAAATTGTTGGATAGCTGTTCAATAAAAAATCTGGATTTGCTAATATATGAGTATATGGAGAACGGCTCTCTTAAACAAGTTTTATTTGGTACTACTAAATGTTCTGAATTTGATAATTTTATTTTTATCATCAATTAACTTGACTGGTGTTATATATAATATTCCAGTCCATTGATTTGCAGAATCGTCACCAGTGGTGCTTAGTTGGGATTTGAGGTTTAAGATCTGCCTTGGAGTAGCAAGGGGTCTCAGGCATCTAGATGACGAAATCAGCTGCTCCAGGCTTGTAAACGGGAGCATTCAACCCAGTAACATCATGCTTGACGCAAATCTCAATGCTAAGTTAATGGATTTCGATCCCAAATGGTTTACTTCTGATGATGATCCATTTATGATGCTGAAGAGTTCGTCAGTGTAAGTAATTAAATGCATTCCTGCAACTACCATTTCCAATCTGCTTGAAAAAATTCTCAAGGCTAAGATTTTCTTAAAACTTTTAGAAGAAGAATTTGTTGTTGATCCTACTTAGTTGTAACAATAATTATCCAATTGTTACTTTTACAGCATGTATATGGCACCTGAGTATTGTGTACGTCGGGCCAAAACCGAAAAAGCTGCCGTTTATAGTTATGGAATTGTCTTATTTGAAATAATTAGTGGGAGGAGATTTGCAGAAATTAGAGAGAACGAAATCCTAAACGAGGTAAGAGAAATTGGCTTATCCTAAATACATAACAGCAACTTTTACTGCTCATTTTGTACATCATGATGCCTTGGATGCCCTCATGCAGCAAATTAACAGCTAGTTAAACCAAATCCTAAATTTAAAATTCTAAAATATTGTCGCTTGAATGCAGAGACTTGTTTCATATGACAGAAGGCCATTGGAACTGGTGGATACAAGGTTGGTTTCATATGATTATAATCAAGTCCTTCTTGTCATGAACTTGGCAATGATGTGCATCGATTCTGCACCATCTCGTAGGCCTACAATGTTTGAAGTTGTAAAGGTACTTGAAGGTGAGAGAACCATCTATGAGGTTTCTGATGTAGAGGTACTTGAAGGTGGGAGAACCATCTATGAGGTTTCTTATGAGGAGTGACTCGGCATGATTTAAAGACTGTCATATACAGTTGGAGTGATTTTCCTTGTTCCTTTCTTTTAATTTGCTTATTTCATCCAGCTTGTTGGTAACGTATTTTTAATTATTGCTCAGAAGACAAAACTCACTAGATTAATATGATGGTTTTATTCGAACCATGAGCTAAAAGAGAAGGGCCTTGGTAGTTGGTTTATTTATTTATTTTTCTTTGGTTTTAGTGGTTAGGATATATATTCTTGTGTTGTTTTTTTCTTGTTTTTTTTTTTCTTTCTTTTTTTTTTTTTGGATCAATGGACGACATTAGCAGATCTATCTTTTAAGGAGTAAGGTCAATTGACCCCATTGAGTTTGAGATAAAATCATCATTGAGTTAAATTGCAAAATATTTTGAGTATTTTACTTGTTTGATCCAACTAGACTATTGCAAAATTGAAGTTAATGGGGCCATTTTTATTATTTTTCTTGCAAAACTCAACTACTTGGAGCATTTTTATCTTAATATTCAGCACTTTCAGATGTATAAATTTCTATATGGATCAAAGTTTCTACATAGTGGCCACTGCGATAATAAACCATGAAATCTAATTAATGGATTCTTCATCTTTTTTTTCTTTTTTTTCTTTTTTTCTTTTTTTTTTTTTGGTATCGACTCTCTCCTCTTTTAATATTAAAATCTTTTTACATTGTGCCTAATTTCATTAAGGTTATACTTTTATTTTTCTAAGAATCAAATTACGTTAAACATAAGAATATTGACTCTTAATTATCAAAAAGAAAAAAAAATTGACTTTTAGTTTTATACATGCATCCTCCATAAATTTTTATATATTTATTGATAACAATCTCCATTATATTCATCTTAATTTTTTATTCAATAAGGTGTAATTTTTTTTTAAAAAAAAAAAATCAAACTTTGAATTATGATTATTGAATTTTGTTTTTTTTTTTTAGCAAGAAGTCAAATAAACAAGCCTATGTTACTGAACCGTGAAACAAAAGATAAAAGAAATAAGCTCCTTTTTTGAAACCTCAAAACAGAGGATAGAGAAAACTCTAATTTTTTATTAAATTCGAAGCCAAAAGAAAACAAAAGTTTCCATAAGTGTGCGATACTCAATTTAAATAGCAGTTATCCTACCCTAAAAGAGTGTTTTATGTGAAGACAAACAATAAAACTAAAATATTAAAAATAAATGCTAAATTTAAAATATCATCCTCGGATTTTTTTTAAACTATAATTCTATTCTTTGTATTTATCAGCTTAATACCACTCATCATTTTTTGAATCTGCACTATAAAAAAAAAATAATAAATAAATAAAAAAGATGAGTGCATTAGGAATGAGTAAATTATAAATTACTCCCTCTTGTTCAAACTATGAATTAATTAGTCATTTTCGTTTTAAAAATTAATTATTTAATTCTTTATCGATGAGTTTTTGTTAAATCTGTCAAATTAACACATAATACTTAAAGTACTCTTTTAACATATACCTATCCATAATTAATTAAGTCATGCTTAGATGATATAGAAGAGTAAAAGAATTTCTTCATACGAGTTATTGGATGGGAAGAAATTCTTACTAAACGGAGGCAAACAACTCTAACCTACAGCTACAGCCTGATAGAAGGTTGTTATTTCAGCAGTTATCAGAAAATCATTCATGAAATTGTTAGAGATTAATATAAATTATATTTTCGGACCTCACCTATTAACTTAAGCTTTTAGATGAAATAATCTTTTAATAGAGACGAAATTTGTGCCTTCTCCTAATGTACAGGATGCAACATCAAGAGTACAAGCAATTACTAGCATAGATTTGATGAAGAACTAATCAAGGTTGGCAGAGAAAAAACCTTTAGATTGTTGAAAGCTGTTGTAGCCTATTTTTTGTCAAATCCTGATGCCTAAATCTGAATTTTCTGTATCAATTAAAGGAGTGGTTTTTCCATGTTCTTTAATTTTATTTTTTTCTGTGCATAGTAAAAGAATGCTTCCTTTTGGCTTGTGGGTACAATTGACAATTAGCTGTATTCTTGCATTGAATTGAACAAGAGTTGAGGATGTATCGTCAAATATGAGCAGCTTAGAATTCGGCATTTAGGTTCTATTCTCTGGCAACTTGGAATTTCTTTTTAATCCTCTCAAAAATAAAAAATAAAAAATCAACTATATATATATATTTATTATTATTTTATTTTATTTTTTTGACGAGCCATTATACCATGTAGATTGATCATTTGATAACAATTGTGGCCCGTCTTTATTGTGACCCTGGTGTGGTTGGATTGACATAAACTGCAACCTTAATCTCTCTATAATCAATACTTTCTGGGTAAAAAGAAAAATTAATTCTTTTTTATTTTTTTATACAAATAAAAAAATTTATTAATTGTTATGTTATATCAATATTTTTTAGTTATAATTTTAAAAATATCTTCATTTTAGTGGTAAATATATTAAAAATAGGTTGAAATATTGTAGAAAAATACATATTTAATATTGTGAATTAAACTAACATTTTGAGAGAAATAAAAATAGAAAGTAAGAAAAAAATTAAAACAAAGAATGTATTTTTTATTTTTTTTCACATGGGGAGTAAAAAAAGATTGGATAAACTGGGAAAATAGTGCTTAAATATAAAATTCACCCCTCTGTAAGCTTTAAATTTTTGGATCAATGGATCGTGTGTTTGAGTTTTTTTTTTCCCAGTTTTTCTTCTTTTTTTCTTCTTGACCCCTTTTTTTCCCCTTACAAAATGGGACTGCGCTCGACATGAAGGATCTCCTTTTTATTCAGCATGGAGGCACTTCTTTTTGTCCTTTTGGTAAGGAAAATTATAAATTAGAAGAATTAGTATATATTACGGCATTTAATTAACTATGTAAGCATAGAACTACTCAATTCACCATATAGACTATCTATTTTCTATAAGAAAAGAAAAACTATCTAAACCAGAAATTCCCATTAGTTTCGAATTGTTCTAGTAGTAAATTAAATGAATATTTGTCTTCCATGAAATTGATGTGCTAAGATTTTCCCCCATTTTTATAGCGTTGAATAAATGATGGAGAGCATACATAGTCAATTGAGTATTTTATCCAGTCACATAGTTGCTTTATTTGACTATGACAGAAATTATTTAAATCAAAGAACGACCACGAACAGAATATGAAGAATTTAGTTACAGGTCTTTGATCCATGTATGCGATCCTTCCAGACGAGATAGCCTTCAAATTCATCCTATAAAAACTACCTCTACTCCTCTTATTTCAGCACCACAAAAACCATCTCCTACAAATCAACAAGTTTTCTCCTCTACCATCTTTCCTGAACTTTCAAAATCCTAAGTTATAATGGGTGTCATCACTTTGGAAAATGAGTTTGCCGTTGGTGTTTCCCCAGCCAAACTTTTCAAGGCATACTGTCTTGAAATTGACACTCTTATGCCTAAAATTCTGCCAGAACACATCAAGGGTTCTGAGATAATTGAAGGAAATGGAGGGCCAGGAACCATCAGAAAGATCACTTTTGCTGAAGGTTAGTATATTATTTATTATAATTACTTTCACTTAACATATAAGTACTTTGAATCAACATATATATCACTCGGTATATGTATTGAACAAAGAAGTAACAAATTAATTTTTCATTTGCAGGCAAAGAGCTCAATTATGCGAAGCAGAAGATTGAAGCCATTGACGAAGAGAACTTGACCTACAGCTTCAGCCTGATCGAAGCCAATGTTTGGAAGGATGCAGTTGAAAAGGTGACTTATGAGCACAAGTTTTTGCCAACTCCTGAAGGAGGATCCATCTGCAAGAGAACTAGCACATATTACATCAAGGGCGATGCTGAGATCAACAGAGATCAGATCAATGATGTGTATGGAAAAAAGACAGCAGGCTTGTTCAAAGCTGTTGAGGCCTACTTCTTGGCAAATCCAAATGCCTAAATATGAAAATTCCTGTGCTTGAATTTTGATGGTCTTCTGGCGTGGCATTTTTTTTGCTTTTGGCCTGTTCTTGACCAAAAACTTGTCTTGGTGTGACAACAGTTTTTCTTTCTTTTTTGGATAAATTTTCTTCCTTGTTGCATGGGAAAATCCATCCAATATTTCTTGATTAGTATTTGGTGTTGTGGCTATTTGGTTATTGTCATTTCTATTCGAGAAGGAAATGTTATTGTATGGTTTGCAATATACATAATAAAATTGAATTTGTGAGCAAGTGTTTACTTACAAACAACGTATAGAAGCATTTTTTTTCGTACATATTAGGACTTGAATTTATGGATCTTTCTCCACAGTCCTTATCAATTTTTATTAAAAAAAGAAGAATATAAAACATTTTCTTGTTGATTGTGCGCACATTAAACTATTCATGTGGAAAGATTCTACAGTACTTATCAAATCCAATCAATTGAATGTCTTCCTATAAGAAAAGAGTACATATCACCAAGGTTGTTAAAAAAATTAATTAATCTGTCACTTTTTTTTCTTTTTTTTCCTTGTAGTTTGATTTCCAATTCAAGAATTGTTAGTTCCACTCCACTTTTATTACAATTTTTATTAATAGATTACGTTGTCCTTGTCTTTAAAAAAATTATTTAACTAAATCAAATTTTATTGAAATATTACTTTCTAATTATTAAACTTCTTAATTAATTAAAAAATAATATTTAAAAATTGAAGTGTTCAAAATTGTAGTCACTCTATTATATTTTCAGTAAATATTTTATTGGTGATTCCAAAAACATTTAAAAAAAAACTTATATAAAAAAAAATGTAGCGCTACCTTCTTTTTCTTAATCTTGGTGATAGGTTAATGATCAAAGAAAATGTAAAATTAATTTTGATACAGTAAGTTATTTTCTTCAGTAAAAAATAAATCATCATAACTTAAAATTTTATTTCTTTTCATTTTTTTTAAAAGAGTAATTATTTTTAATAATTATTTTCCAAAAGTAACGGAATAAAAAAATAAATTAAAAGGGTAAAA